TTGTCGGTTGAAGCTTTTTTCATCAATGATTGTAGCTTTCTCAAACACCGGTTGCAGCTTCTGTGGTGCCAGGCCCCGCTTCTGTCTTCCCTTCGGTTGAAGCTTTTTTTCTCGCCGGTTGTAGCTTTCTCAGATGTCGGTTGCAGCAACCTTGACTAGCCATCATACCGACACCACCTTGTTCCAGCATCGATGGTTGTCGGTTGCAACACATGTGGTCGCCGTCTCCAGCTCGACTAACGCTGGTTGTAGCAGTCTTTGGGTGGCCGTGGTGCATGGTTGTAGCATCCCGAGGGAACACCGCCATGGCTTGCATGGCCGTGGCCCAATCCAGTGCATCTCCTAGCAGCACGACCGTCGTGCGCGTCCCGAGGGTGACCAGGACGAACTCACGGCGTCTCCTGGGAGTTCATGCGTGCCACCGTGGCTGAAGTGGGAAGAAGAGATGGGGAGGCGGCTCGCCGTTTGTCGGTTGTAGCATCGCCCACCTTTGGATCCCGCTTGCCACCGTGCTGGTTCCATCTTGCCGTCGTGACGGTTGCAGCACCGGGAATTCTTCCCCCCAATTGTATCTCGTCGACGTGTCGTAGCACCCCATGGCCGGTTCCAGCTCCTTCGGATACCCATTTGTAGCACTCCGGTGGCTGGTTGCAGCTCCTGTAAAACGATTGCAGCACATCATCTTGCCCAGATCCAGCAGGCAGCAGGGCACCTCGCTCTCCCCCTGGAGATTGCACCAAGACATGGCACCTGTCTCAGCAACCACTAGGGGTCGTTGTAGCATCTGCAAAAAATCGTCGGTGGCAGCAAAAACTTCCTCGCCGATGCATGGCATGTGTCTCCGGGCAGCTCGAAGTCAGCCATGGCCTCCGCAAAATAGCGGCGAGAGCTTTCGCGCAATAGGCCATTCAGGGGTGGAGGTTTGAGGTGGAGAGAAGCGGAGGAAAACAGCTCGGGTTGTGCCATCCATGGCGTCTCGAGCGTGAGCGGGGGCAGAAGAGATGGAAGAGGATGTGCGGATGAGAAAGAAACATATGAACGATAATATTCCTGGAGTAAATCACGTGGGGCCACTGCCAGCGAAAGCAAAACTGTGCCTTTCGTGGAAGGAAAACAAAGAAAACACATTTTTTCACACAAAAGACCTGTGGAAAATTAAAAAAACCATCTAAAAAACCAAAAACGCATGTGAAAATAAAATAGAAAAATAAATTCAGAGAAAGCGTCCAGAGCGGGACACGTAGAGCACTCCCAGCAAACCCAGAGTGACCCTTGGGTAAGCTGCGAACGAACGCTCCTCAACTAGTTGTTGCTGCTAAAAAAGGCTCGAATTTGTCGTGCCTTATTGAAGATTGAAAACCCCACATCCTAAAAAACTTCGGAGACTAAAAAGATGCAGAGGAAAAATGCGCAAAAAAATATAACGCATGGCAATTTAACATGTGTCGGCCTTGTGGGTGATGTTTCTACTTTGTGAAAATATAATATGTGTTGGTCATGCTTTGATTTATAAGAATTACCATTCTTTAATTAATAAAAGTACAATAGTGGTATAAGTTCCTTTTGGCATATTTTAAGTTGGAATGACAACTAATTTTAAGTTGTCTCTAATCATCATGAAGAAATAGCACCCCCTCGTGCTTTTGAAAAATAGCCATAAAAATCATGAAAAAAAATATAAATTTTTGTAGTATTCACATAGCAAAAGATATGAAATTTCGTAGTTTAGAA